AGAGAGAGAGAGAGAGAGAGAGAGAGAGAGAGAGAGAGAGAGAGAGGGAGATCTCTTGCAAGGGCAAGCATGAGGCTGCCAGAAAAGTCCCAAGGCCTGGTGCCCAAGGAGTGTGTTTCTCTTTCTCTCTTGCTCACTCTCTCTGTGTCTTGCTCTCTTTCTCTCCCCTCTTTCTCTCCCCTCTTTCTATGTATGTATCTCTATCCTTTTAGGAGCTTGATGATCCTTGTGCGGTATCACAATGCCTGCTCCTTCTAGCACAGTTAGCCAACAAGGAAAACCACCATCAACAAGCTAAGAAAATGATTGAGAAAGCCCAGAAACTGGGTGGAAATGAGGAGTTTTGGTACAATTCAACCCTGACTTTAGCAGAAGCGATCTTGTCCACAGAAGATGAGGGGAGAAAGGTGGTAAGAAGTGTATTGGGTACATCAGATGTGGTGCTCAGTGGGGGGATGCAGTGGGGGGGGGCCTCTGTCCCTGGGCCCACCATAATTTTGATGCTGGTTATCTCCAGGTTTGCTGTCTATTTCACAAACTCATAGCTGCCTTTAAAGTCCTCCAGAAGGAAAGGCCTAACCGAATGCCCATATTGGAATTCATCACCACAGATCTGGAAGCCAGGTAGCATTGCGAGTTTCTGGGAGAGGCATGATCACTTCCTATCTGTTAATTGCAATGTATTTCACACCAAGGGAAGATGAGACATAACAGGGCCACAACCCCCTCTCCCAACTCTGGGGGACAGCAGAAGTCCCTGCAAAGCCTCCAGCTTCCTCTTAAGAAACCGACCTACATACACATGTGCAGGCTGCATGGCTTGGAGAAGAAGCCATGGACCCCAGAGCATGGGGAGTTTCCTTGGCTTTGCAGGTGCCGGCTCTGGTTCAGGCTTCCTCAGCATCTTTCCCCAGCTCTGGAGGTCCTCTCAGCCTCAGTCCCTCATGACGGATGTTGGTGCTCCAACTTACTCAACCTTTCCAAAGAACTGGCTTTCTGCTTATTGTACACAGCAACAGGGCCTCTTGTCTGTGTGCTGCTTTGCATTGGAGCAGCTGCTCGAAGCTGTCCTAGTGCAGGTGCCTCAACATCCCATCCCCAGTATCCCTTGGGTTTGATCACACACAACTCATTGTTTCAGCCTGGGCATTCTTTATTTCACTTGCTGGTCATTTGAGGATGTGTTTTATAATTTCACATTGAATCTAATACCAGGAGCTGAGTCTGTTGATCTCTAACTTCTTTGCATGTGATCAGGGGATATAGCTGTAAACTTCTGGTTTGCGAAAAAGGCCTGAAGGAGTTTGATCCAGCGAGTGACACCATGGTCTGAGGCTTTGAGTCTGTGTGGGAACCTTGGACTCACAGCCCCTAAAAAGTATCTGTCCAGCAGGTGTGTGAGCCTTCAGATCCAAATTGTCCAGGACTCAGCTGACAGCGAATTCCCTGAGTGCTTAGTTTTGCTGAAGGAGTTGGACAGTTCCCTGCTGGAAATTGAAGAAAAGTTTATCAACTGTGGCTACAAGGAAAACTGTGTCGATATAAAACTAGAGCATGCAAAGATAAAGAGGTAAGGACCTTACCACTGATGCTGCCTGTGACCAAGGAGCTGCACCATGATTTGCTGCTCTCAGCAGTATCAGCCATGGCCTTTTGTCCACTACAGCTTCTGCTTTCTCCAAGTCCTCACAGATCACAAACCCCTTATTCCCAGTGCCCACACCCACTGAAGTGCCTCTGGGCCCCAGGCAGCTCTTCCCACTGCCATCTCACCCACTGAACCACATCCACTTTTCCTCTTAACTCAACACCCTACAGGTTCTCCAGGGGCCACCTTCTGGCCTTGGCCCTGTGACTGCCTATGCCTCCCTTAGGGACACACTTTGGGGATCTGCAGCCCTTGATTCATCTCTGTTTCTGCCCCACCTTGGCAGCATGCCACTCAGCCTCTGCAGGCACACCCATCCCACCACCCTCACAAACTTGTACATGTTCACATAAGGGCCCCGCTCATGACAATCTCATCCACACCAACCCTATGCCCTCTCCATAGGGCAGACCAACCCAGTGCTGGCAAAGCCTCACAGATACCCTTTCTCACTCCACTCAGCCACCCCCCTGGGCAACCATGTAACTGCTTACACACAAGCAAAGCTAGGCAGGCATTACTGAGTCTTCATGAGAGACAGTAGACTGACATGTAAGGAAGTCCAGCCCAAGTCATGTCCAGATGTAGACAGCTCCATCATGGGTCTGTGGGAAAGGCACGAAACTAGGTGGTTAGCCAGCAGACTGGTATGGTGTTGCCTCATCAGATGCCTTTTGGGCATAAATTTCATTCTTCATAAGCATAGTGTCATAGTGTACTTACTATGTTATTCTGTTTTTCTAATAATCTTTGCTTTAAAATATCTTGAGCATATATTTACATGAAAACATCTAATTACAAAATTTTGAGTACTAAGAAAATATACAGTATAATTATATGGAAATTATGTACTTATATATCAGTTAGTACTAATAACACATATTTAACATCTTTGTTCTAAATTCCATATTGTATAAAGGTTGTGTGCCAAAATTGAGAAAGATGAAAAGCAAAAAACTGCATATCGCTTGGAACTATATGACTTGGTCCAGAAAGCTGTGGCTGAGCAAGAAGAGATTTTTCACAGAACTCAAGGGTTACTGTCCTTTCAAGATGTAAGTACAAATCCTGCTCCTTGAGCACATCTTTGCCATTCCCAGCACTACCATAACTCATCTCTAAAAAACCAGCTGACCTCCACTTCTGGCTGAGATGGAGTAATAACAACTGTATTTACTCTCTCCTCTGAAACAACCAAAATACATGAAATAAGATCTTCAAAGCCCTAAACTTTAACAATGACAAACAGTTACTCCTGAGCTAAGCTCCACACTTACCGTGGCTGTGAAAATGGGAGCCAAGATGGATTCTGAGTCAGGGAATGGAGCTGAGGGTCCAGGAAGAAAGATGTAGCTACAGTTGGAAGGTGAGATCCCAAGAAAGAAGGATGGTGCAAAGAGATCTTCAGGGGATGATCCAGAGGGTCTAGATAAGGCCTCATCAATGCATTCCTGGGAGGAAGTTCCTCAAATCTTGAAAAGATTATAGGAAACAGTGCTTAGTGCTCATTCAGGAAGGGATCAGCATCTGCTCCCCCAACCTGACTGGGGAATCTCAGTAACCTCAGGCCTACGGGTAGAGGAAACAGCCTGTCCTCAGGCTTTGTCAGATTGTATCAGGGGAACCTAACCATGTGTTTCCCATAGAAACCCTCTTTAAACATAAAAATATAAGTAGGTAGAAGTAAAAGGATGGAAAAATATCTCATGCTATCCCCGGTCAAAAGAAATATCAAGTGTTTGTGTTAGCATCACACAAGCAGATTTCAGAGCAAATATTATCAGAGATATGAGAATCCATGTCATAGCTAGCATAAAGGAATATAGTAACTAGGAGGACATTGTAATCTAAACATTTATGTACTTGACTTTTGAAGTAAATGAAGCAAAAAAATGATAAATATTGCAATGGAAAAATAGAAAAATCTGTAACTATGGTCAGGGATTTCTATATCCTCTCTCAATATTAGTGGAATGAGTAGAGAGAAAATCAGGAAAAGTTAGGGGATTTGAAAACTGTCAACTAACATGATCTAATAGTTATTTATAAAATGTTATGTGCAGCAACAATAGAGTAACATTCATCTATGTGCATGAAACATTTTCCAGTATAGACCATAGTCTTGACCATGCATCAAATCTCAGTAAATTTAGAAGATATGAGTCATATGAAGCATATATTGTTATCATAATGGAATTAATTAGAAATCAAAAACAACTATAGGATAAATCCATAGACACAGAATGATGAATCATTGCTAAGGGACAGAGGGAAAAGGTTGAGGAATAACTGCTAATGCTCTTCCTTTTCGAGTGAACAAAATGTTTTGAACTAGAGAGAGATCATGATTGCACAATTTTGTGAATCTACCAAGTGCCACTAAATTGTAAGCTTAAAATTGCTAACTTTGTCTTATAGGAATTTTACTTTAATTTTTAAAACTGAAACCAATGTGTGTGAGAAACCCCAAGTATTTGGAAGGTAAATATCTTATACTGAAAGAATTATAAACCACAGACAAAGTCAAAAGGGAAAGTACTTTGAACTAAAGGAAAAAAATATCAAAGAAATTTAAGAAGTTGCCAATTCAGTCCTAAGGGGAAATTTGTAGCACTGAATGCATGCATCTAATCAGAAAAAAGATCAGAAACCAATGACCTCCAACTCTAACTTTTAAAAGTAGAGGAAAAGCAAACTAAATCCAAAATAAGTAGAATAGAAATTAAAGATCAGAGAGAAACTCAGTGGGATAAAAAACAAAAATAAAAAGAAAGTCAACAAAACAAACCTCATCCTTTGACAAAATCGATAAATTTAAAAGTTTCTAATCAGATTTATTAGACAAAAAAGATAGGACCTAAATGCCTAAAGTCATAAATGAGTGATGCAACATCTTTATGGGGTCTACAGATATTGAAAGGATAGTAAGGAAATATTTTTATTTTGACACCTCAGATGAAATAGATAAATTCCTTGAAAGACACAGTCTACCAAAGCCCACCCAGGAAGAGATAACTGGATAGCTGTACACAAAGTAAAGAAATTGAATTTGTAATTGAAAGCATTCTCAGAAAACACACATCAGGCCCAGGTGGCTCTACTGGTGAATTCTACCAAATATTTAAGAAAAAAATATCATGCCAGTTCTACAGATTTGTCTAGAATATTGGAAAAGAAAAAATACATTCCAACTTTCCATGAAGTTTGTACAGCCCTGATTCCAAAGTAAGATAGATATTACAAAAAAAAAAGCAAATGAAAAACTATATACCAATAGTCCTTATGAACACAGGTTTAACATTCTGAACAAATTTTTAGAAAATTAAATTAACATATATTAAAAAGATAATTCATTATGATTAAGTTTGGCTTGTCACAGAAATAGCCTTACACTCAAAAATATGCCAATTTGACTTATTATTTAGAAAAATTAACAAAAACCATGGGACCATCTCAGTAAATGCACAAAAGCATTTGACAAAAAACTAATATCCATTCCTGATAATCTTACCAAATAATTAGATAATTTCCTCACCCTAATGAAGGGCATCTATGAGAAAAATAGACCTAATATCATCCTCATTAGCAAGAGACTGAACACTTCCCCCTTTAAAAAACACTAAGATGAGGATGTATCTGTCCTCATACAACTTTTTTAAAAATTAATTTTATTGGTACATTTTGGGTATGCAATATAATAACATCATTATTGGAAATTTGTACATTCATATGATCTATCTTGGTTCATTTTTCCCCGTTCCCCTGCCCTCCCTTCAGCCCCTCCGTCCCTCCCTGTTTACAAAGACTTTGTTCCCATTTTCTCATATTAATTCCGTTTCCTTCTTTCCTCTTCCCTACCCTATCCACTTCCCCTTCCCCTTTGTACCTTTTCTTCCTATTTCACATTACCTGTTATACCTTTCAGTCCTGATTTACACTTTCAGTTTCTCACACTAGAGGAACTATTTAGTATTTACACGTGTCCTATTTATTTCACTTGAGTATTGCCTCAATGTGCATACATTTAGATTTTAAAAAGCATATTTTCTTTTATCTGTTCTCCAGTTGATGGGCAATTGGGCTGCTTCCAAGTTTTAGCTATTATGAATTGTTCTGTTATGAACATGGGTGCATACATATCACTGTGATATGATTATTTCAATGCTTTGGGGAAGATACCCAGCAGGGGAATAGCTGGGTTAAATGGGACCTCTAATCCTAGTTCTTTGAGGTATCTCCTACTGATTTCCATAGTGGTTGCACCCATTTACATGCCCAACAGCAGTGCAGCAGGGTTCCTCTTTCCCCACAGCCCTGCCAGCATTTGTTATTGGTTGATTTCATGATAGCAGCCATTCTTTCTGGGGTGAGGTTGAATCTCAGCATGGTTTTCATTTGCATCTCTTGAATGACCAGTGATGTTAAACATTTTTTTCATATTTTTATTTGCTATTTCTACTCCTTTGTGTGAGAAATGTCTGTTCATATCAGATGCCCATTTTTGGATTGGGTCTTTAAGTTTGGGAGGTCTGAATTCTTAACGTTCTTTATAGATTCTAGAGTGTAGGCCTTTGTCTGAAAAACAGCTAGTAAAAAATTTTTCTCACGTTATGGGTTGTCTCTTCACACTGTTGGTTGTTTCTCTTGCTGTGAAGAAGCTTTTTAATAAGAATAGATTCCACTTGTTGATTCTTTGTGCTAGTTCATGTGAAGCTGAGGTTTTCTTCAAAAAATCTTTTCCTAAACCAGTGTCTTCAAGAGTTTTACCTAACCTCTCTTCCAGCCAGTTTAGTATTTCAGTTTTAATATTTACTCCTTTAATCCATTTTTATTTTAGATTAGTGCATGGTGAGAGATATAGGTCTAGTTTTAATCTTTGGCAAATTGAAAGCCAGTTTTTCTGGAGGTGTTTCTGTATCTTCAATCTGTTCCACTAGTCCTCAGGTCTGTTTCTTTGCCAGTACCATGCTGGTTTGTTTTTTTGTTTTTTTATCACAGCAGCTTTGTAGTATAGTTTCAAAGTGGGGATTGTGATGCCTCCTACCTTGTCTATTGCCTAGAATTGCTTTTGCTATCCTAGGTCTCTTCTTGTTTCAAATGAATTTTGGGATTGTTTTCTCAAGGTCTGTGAAGTATGCTGCTGGAATTTCAATTGGGATTGCATTGAATCTATATAGCAGTTTTGGAAGTATGGCCATTTTCACTATATTGATTCTTCCTACCCAGGAGCAAGGGATGTCTTTCCATTTCTGTTATCCTCTTCAATCTCTTTTTTCAGAGTGCTATAGTCTTCAGAGTAGAGGTCTTTGATTTCTTTTGTTAGGTTGATTCCTAGGTATTTCAATTTTTTGGATGTTGCTGCAAAAGGAATTGTTTGCCCCATTTCTCCCTAATTGGGTCTGTTGTTCTTGTACAAGTAAGCTATTGTTTTTGTGTGTTGACCTTGTATCCTGCTACTTTACTGAATTTGATTATTAAGTATAGAAGACTTTGGGTAGAGTTCTTGGGGTCTTCCATATAGAATATCATGTCATCTGCAAATAGTGACAATTTGAATTCTTCATTTCCTATCTGTATTCCTTTTATTTCTTTTCTTGTCAAGTTGCTGTGGCTAATGTTTCCAAAACTATATTGAACATGAATGGTGGTGATAGTGAATATCCTTGTCTTGTTCCTGGCTTTAGTGTGAAGGATTTCAGTTTTGCACCACTCAGTATGATATTGGCTGTTGGTTCTTCATAGATGGCTTTTATCAGATTGAGGTAGAGACCGTCTATTCCAATTATTTGTAGGGGTTTTTTTCTTTTATCATGAATGCCTGTTGAATGTTGTCAAATACTTTTTCTGCATCTATTGAGATGGTCACATGGTTTTCATCCTTGGCTCTATTAATGTAGAGTATTACGTCTATTGATTTGGATATGTTGAACCATCGCTGTATCCCTGGGATGAGTCCCACTTGGTCAGGGTGTATGATCTTCTTGATGATCCTCTGCATTCTGTTTGCCAGTTTCTTATTAAGGATTTTTGCATCTATGTTTAATAGTGAGATTAG